ATATTGTTTTGAACGTGTAAGATATCTTATGGATCCAATGTAGACGTTGGAATCGTCAACATTTTTTAACAATCTATGCGCATATGTCTGCCTGAAATTATTAGATGCTAAAATTGGAAAGCTAAGCTTCGATTTAGACTAGCGATTACGCGAATATAGAATTGGCTTTAGATTAATGCGATGTTTGAACTTTCAAACTTGTTTTGTTGTTGACATCGATTTTGTTCTGATATTTTTAAGCGTAAATTTTGATATCTGCACTTAAAGTATAAATGTATGAATTATATATAAATATTTTTTTATACTTTTTTTTTTATAGTTAGATAGCGTTACAATATGCTATTTTAAAACATTAAATAGTTAAAAATAATTTTTCAAATTGGTTTTTATCGATCAATTGTAATTGGTATTAATTATCATATGATGAAAATAAGTAGATAATTAATAAATTAATAAAATTAATAAATAAAAATAATTGACTATAGAATTCAAATATCGTAATGAACATTTTATGCTGAAACTATGATCGGAGATCTCGAGTTTTCTTAATTTAAAATCCTATATATCTTTACAAATGGTCTCAATAATAATAAGAATTCACAATTTACTAATTCTTATCAAAGCATAGGCTATTATTGATCCATGTTTTTGATAGCATAAATATTCAAATATCAGTAATTAAAACTTAAATACACATCAAAAGTGACTATATAAGTTGGCCAATTTTATTTTAGACTCAATAAATAAGACTCAATAATTAATTCTTTATTTTACATCGTAAAAGTAATCGACGACTTAAAATTTAATAAATAAATTAATTTTCCATTCCAATTTATAAAAGTGATCGATAAGAATCAAAAATGATCCTGAATCGGATAAAGTTAATAAATAAATTTTAATTCTAGTAATAAAAGTGATCTATTTGAGCTCTTTGATGGATATAAATTTTCGACTCCAATATATGATCATCGATTATAGGATGGCTATGTATACGTGCTATCTGTACATTTTTGACGTCATATAATAATGATACAGGTGCCATCATCGTTTACAATGTCATCATCAATACCGCATATCACTTCCTGCATCCATAGCAGATGCAGAGACAAATCTAATGCATTCTATAAAGCACTGATCAAGAGGGAAACTCTTGGGACTGCGGTCCAGTCCTCTATTTTACTTTCCTCAAATCTATAAATAATAATCTAATAGAATGTTCGCAAAGTAAATTTGAGATTCGGAAACACGAATCTATAGTAGATCAGTGGAAAAAAAAACAAGATTGTCCTTCTGGACACCGACAAAATGGTCCTATTTTCTTCAGGATTAAAGACGAAGAAATATTAAAAATTATACGAAATATAATCGTGATTTAATCATTTGATTTTTTCTTTATATTATCTTCAATTAATTATAGTTTTGTAATGAATAAATTGTTTAAATTAGAAGAATAATATTTAATCAATCATAAATATATTATGAATATTATGAATTAGCAAAGCTTATATTGATTCTTATTATATTGATGCATATTTTTAAATTTTATGTTTTAAATTTTATGTTAAAAAATCAAGATTTATATATTTCGATAATTAAAAATATGTAATTATGAAATATATATATTTATTTTCATTTGAATGGAAACAATCTAATTATTTTTCTAATATTATTATAAAATTTTAATCATATTTAATTATGTTTTGATAAAATTTATATTTATATTTCGATCAGTAAAATAATTACATGTATTTAATTATTTCTATTCTAATCTATATTTATCACTAATATGTTTAGATAACTTACGTATCCTAAATACATCTATTGACAATATCTATTGTCAAAACAAGCGAGATATTAGAATATTCATTTTTGCTTCTTTCAGATGATTCAAGTATTTATATGTGAAATATCGACACACTTTTCGTGGTAGATAACTTTTTATTAATAAAAAAAAAAATAAATAAATAAATCGTCTGCTAATGGAAATTATTCCTGATTACAGAGATTTGTGAACGATCAAGAACAAAGATTACATAAATAACAATATCTGTTTTGGGACATCGGTAATTTTTATCGGTTTATCTACTAATGAACTTTAGCAAATAATATTAAAAAACCTAAACTAACATCATTCCACATTATATGTTTCTTATTAATTGTTTATTAGCCTTTTAAGTGTTACAGGATATTAAAAATTAATATTTTAATATTCTATCCAGAAATTGTAAATAATAAATATTTTGCAATTGATTAAAATTTCAGACAATAAAAAATTATCGTATAGACTATAGTTGATGCTTGAATGATTAATCTAGTTACAAAAGAAGCTTTTTTGTGAGCAGTTTGTATAATTTAAATTGCTCTTCGAAATAAATTGCAGTTGCACAAATATCATTAATGTTGAATAGAAAATTTCGAAAACCAATGGCCGATTAAAACAAAGCGAACGTTACTGTAAATGAACAACGATATTTATGTAAAAAGAATAAATGTGTCTTTATTTTAAATACGATATATATTTTTCAATTAAATTTTCATAGTAATTCTTCCTCTGAAAGCTTAAATTAATATATTTTAGGTAAATTAATATAATTTACCTAAATTATATTATAAATATTTTAAATATCATTAAAATCGAAAAAAAAAATATATCACAAAGATGATATATAACGGCTATAAAGAGTTTGTTATAACATTTATATACTAATTAATTAAGACCAAATATGACAAATTTTAAAATAAAATATAAAATTTGATAAAAAAACTTCATTAAAAAATAAAGATATTGTATTTTTAAAGATAAATACTTTTAGTACATATTAAATAAATAGCATTATTTTTTACATTGAGATTTACTTTACTTACTTTAATATAAATATTAAAAAGAATTTAATATTACATAATATAAAATGAAATTTAAAATTAATTTAATAAAATATGTAATAATAATTTAATAAAATGTAAATAATTTAAAAAATGTAAATAAAAGTCATTTTATCATTATCTTCTAATATACAACTCAATAATCAGTTTAATTTAATAAAAGATTAATTTTATAAATAATTTTATAAATAATTGTCAATTTTATAATAGATAACAGATATATAATGCTTTCAGTGAGAATTTCAACACGAATATTTATTTGATCAAACTTATTATACCACGAACGAAAATAAAATTATTATAATTACTTGATATATTAATCATTAAATATGAATTCATTATTTTATATATAATTATATATATTCCAATTCTGTTTTTTTTTTTTTACGATAAAGAAAAAAAAATAAGAAACAAACTTTTAATTTCTTTGTATCAATATACTGATTACTTTAATGCTTTTTTATGTATCTTTTTTTCATTTATATTTTTAAAATATATTTTATTTATAGTTTCAATTCTGATTATTATGAATGTTATAATTTTTTTTATGCTGAATCGATAATGCTGAGTGATGCTAAAATGATAATGATAATTTAAGTTTAAGCACAGTCTTATACATGATTTAGATTTAAAAAATTTAGAATATAAAAATACTTTGCTTTATTATCATTTTAATGTTACATTCAATGTTATTATTCAGCACAAGATAAGATTACAATTATAGATGAGAAAAAAAATAAACACGTTATCTTGCAGTATTTTATATGTATTAATATTCAATTCAAATAATTTATTTAATTAAAAATTAACTTAACTATAAATTTAATTTATATATTTTCCTATTAAAAATATAATGGTTCTCATTATTTCTTCGATTCGGACTTTTTATCTTACATGATTGAATGACCGAAAGAATTAAAATATATATGATTCATCATTAGATGCAAAGAGCCTGCATTGCATTGATGCTGCATGACCCATCGCAAAATTAATGGATAACTATAAAAAAAAAAAATATTTCAATTTAAAAATACTATATATAAACTAGTTATTTGAAGTAAGGAAAGAAAAATCTATGTTTTTCTCTTTAATGGAAAATATATAAATTACTTCAAAATAATTACTTCTTTGAATGATGAATGATCATTATGTCTTTTTGAGAAAAATACTGACTCTAGTTTTGCGTTATCCATTAGAGATCCAAAGAATTTAAAAAAAATTTCATGAAATAAACACTGACTTTAATTTCGTGATATCCATTAAAGAACTTAAAAAAAACTTTTACAAACACTGATTCTAATAATTGCATTGCACATGATCACAAAAATTTTTTAAAAATAAAGAATTAGATGAAATAAAAAAAAAATATGATATACATAATGGTATATGTAGAAAATATCAAATTTTACTTAATCGTAAGAAAACATATTCGCGTTTATATTGGAAGTTTTCCTAATTTCGAAGCTAATCTTAATCATTTAATAGTCTGTACAAAAAAATCAAATAAAATGATATTAAATATATAAATATATTAAAATACTAACTACGAAAATAATATATAAACTAAACTAAACTAAATATAATTAAATATATTAAAATAAAATAATGACCAACAAATTTCATTTTAAAAAGTTAAAATATGAAATATCTTTAATCATAATTTATAATCTACAATAGTAAAATATAGAAAAAAGAAAAAAAAGAATAATTTAATTACCAAATAAATTTTCAATTATGATAAGAAACACGGATAAGTATAAAAATGGAAATTGGAGATGAAAATGGAAAATAACAAAAACAAAAACTATAGTAAAACTCAAGATATTTAGATCTATTTTAAAGTTAAAAAAATTGAGATTTTTATTTTCGCCTTAAATAAGAGTGCCAGATTTATTCGCTAGCTGCCGATGCACGCATCGATCCACCTTCTGTGCTCTCAATTAGAGGATGCCCTCTTCATCGCGCGCTATAGCTTGGGATTGGAGATTTTTTTATAGATATTATAATTCTCGAGGTTTAATTACTTAAGGCAAAACCGAAATATGATCACAAGCTTATGGTGTGATAAAGCTCGGATAATTCGGATGCGTTAAACTCATACTGCAATCAACAGTTTGACTGGTAGAGCACAAACGCAGTCCCGACTAACAAAAATTATATGTCCGAGATACCCATATTAGGAGAATTCGTAGAGGTTAGCTCAACTGTAATGTAATGAAAGAGCTTCATTCTGGAACTGCCTTCATAATCTCTATGCCAAATAAATATAATCAATCCTAACTTAACCTAACTTAATTATAAAAAAAAATAATATTTTAATATTTCATATATATACATATTTTTGATTTTTTGAAGGGAGAATAAAGAGAAATGATTAAATAGATACATAGAGATGATATTTTTTTATTTATAAGATTTTGGTCGATAGTTCTGTAAAGAATGTGCATGATAAATTCTCAAGAATAGAATATATATATTATTTTTCATACTTATATATTTTAATTTTTCGCTTAATTCTTATTTAAAATGTTTTCAATTGTTGTGAAATTTTGTTCGCGAACTAAGTATAATATTAGAATATAATTATTTATAATATAATTATATATAATAATAATATATTAATAATTATATTATAATATAATTATATCGAAAAGATAAAGAGCGTTTAAAAGAAAAGAAATTTATTTAATAGTGGTTCGAATATTACAAATCGAAGAAAAATAGGATTCTAATTAACGAGTCTTATATTTTGTATATTTATCATATGATAAATTGATTTAAAATAAAAAAAAATAAAATATGAAATTTTATTAATAAGAAAAAATAACATTAAACGTGTCACAGAAAAAAGTATTTACATAATATTTAATATATATAATAATATATATAATAATATATATAATAATTTTTATTTATAAATAAATTGTTATTTAAATAAATTAATACAAATTTATCCGAATATTTTTTTTCTATGTTAAATTTTATCGTTATTTCATTCATCGCTCATTGTATAATAAATAAATAAATAAAACTCCATTACAACGAATAATTATAACGAATAATTAAAAAACAATCAATTCGATTAAATTGCAATAAATAAATATATAAAATAATATTTTCTTGCAAATCATATTGTTTGAATATTAATTCGAGTCATTATATTTGACACGTAATGGAATAATTAATATATATATGGCTTTATTTACTCGATCGTGAATTGTCATAAAGATAAGACATCTAATGTGTCCCGAAATGTAAACAAAATATAAAGAAAAGTATCAGTTAATAAGCGAATGTAAGTAATCAAATAGTTACTCTATCAAATACAGTCCGTAACGCTTAAAATCGCATATTTAATATTTCTTCAATATTATTTCGAATCAAAATTCGAATCAATATTCAAAGTACCGGTTATTTTGTTGGAATTTTATTTAAATCATAATGTTAAAAAAATTTTTTACGCAATAGATTATCGTTATTATATCCATGATATTCTGATAAAATAAACGCGCGATTCAAGAGATATCTATAGAGATCATTTTAATTTTTTGTTTTTATTTTTAATTTTTGAAATTCTCTTCACGGATTAATATTTTATTAGAGATTTATTTTATATCAAGACTAAAAAAAAGAAAAAATTTGAATTTTATAACAATTTATAACAACCGCATAAAAATTTTAATTTTTTGAAAAATTTTAAAATTCTAATTATTGTTTATATGAATCAATATTATATTATTTTTTTTATCCTTTCATGCAAAGGAAAACGAAGGGAAAGCAAATACAGGAGATAAATGCGATCGGATGATTTTTTTATTTTTCTTTTTTATTTATCGTTCTTCATTATCATTCTCATAAAAATTCTTCTTCAAAAATATATTTATATGTTATAGAATTATGTTTTGTATTTAAATTTTATTCGTTTTTTTTAATATTTATATACAATAAAATTTTTATCTTTTAAATTTAATTTATGGCTTATACGATTAACGTGGTTAATACGACTAAATGGTATTTTAATTTTAATGTTCAATAACTTAATATTCGAAATACGAGAGGAAAAAAAAATATGTAAATCGAAAATGAAACAAAAAAAAAACGAAAATTCGAAGAATTTAAATTTTTGTTTTATTCGTCGTTTTTAATTATTATATATGTATATATTTTTTAAAATTTTATTTATCAGTTAGGCGATTATTTTCTTTATCTTTCGATAAACTCGTTTCATTTATTATTTTATTATATTATCGTATTCGATGAACAATTGGTTCTCCTTTTCATCGATTTATATATTTATATTTATAATTGTACCGTTACATTTTGATATTTCATTTATTCAATAATAATTTATTTTAATAATTTATTCTTTATTCGTAGTCTTTATTCGAGAAACAAAGAGAATATGTATATATAAATAAGAAAATATACATATATTTTCTTACTTAGGACTTTTTGATTGGTTGAAACGATGCAAATTTATTTACTTAACCGCGCAAAAATTGAAACATTATATAATATAATATTAATTATAGTTTCATGTACATTGAAATCCTACGAAGGTCCATTTACAAAAAAAAATATAATAAGAACTAAGCATAAAAATTAATTGTCAATAAAAATCAATGGAATTTAAGAGAGTCAAAAACACAATAAAATAATTTAAGATAAAAATTAAATAAATATGTAAAAAATATAATACAAAAAAGAAAGAAAATATGAAAGCTCATTAAATTAGGGAAAACTAGAAAAATGGATTAAAGAGTAGTTCTTAGCTTGGCATCTTTTCCGAAAGAAAGAAAAAAAGAAATTACTAATGAAAATTATTGAATCTTTCTAATAAAATATTTTTCGTATATCCTTTTTAAAGGAAAATTTTAAAAAGAAAAATTTTGGAAAATGATGCCAATTACCAGATCTTACCACGAGAAGGTGACTATGCATCGAGATCCATCTAAAGCTAAAAAATTAAAAGTTAAAGAATAACAAATAAAAAATTAAATAAATTAAGAACACAAAAAATAAATAAAATACGAAACATTAAAATTGATAATTAATATAAATGAATTATGAAAAATATAAAATATAAATAATTGATAATCGAAATAAATTATAATTAATAATTAATGTTAAATAAATTATGAAAAAAATGGAAGAAGAAAAAATAAGAAATAAAAATTAAATAAATCTGAAAAATTTGAAAAGGAAAAATTAATTCGAAATGATTATTTAAATTAGTATACAATTGTTTTTACAATAATGATCTTCTACAATAATTAATCGCTCGCAATTAATTCCACGTCGCGTCGTCAAACAATGAGGCTTAAGTCTAACTTAATTTATACTTTAATATTATTTACACATTCATCTTAAAATACTTTATAAGTATCATCTTAGTATACTTTAATAGTAAATCTTAAATCTATAATGCGTAACAAAATTACTCTCGCTTAACTTGAAGCGAAAAAAAGAAATTATAATTAATTTATATCAGGAATTGTAATACCTAGTAAAATGCCTAGTAGACATGATTGATAAAACACACGATCGATAAAAATGAAGAAGAAATTTAAAAAAAACCAACTTCCTATAAATCATTGCTATCGTATGTCATATGTCACGACCTACATCGCTAGACTTACAAGGATCAGCAGATAGATGATTCTTGCTAGTCGTGGTCAATCGAAAGTTACGACAACGGCCTAACGGAAGAATTATTCGTCCCAACGACATAGGAAGGAGCATAGAGTTGTAAACTCTAGTCCACCGGAGCCGGATAACAAAGACGAGTTCGACCGCAGGACCTAACTCTCATCGAGTACTCGAAAGTACCAATCGATCAAAGCGCGGACTCTCGACTGACCACCGGAAGTAAAGCATCCGTCCAACGATTCTTATCATCGTTGCGTGACAACATGTGGTTGACAGCGAAGAAAGAAAAAGTTAGGAAGGAAAGCTAGGAAAAACTATCGTAAAATTAATCATAGAGATAAATAAGAAATAAACGCTTCGAATAATAATATAAAAATGGAAATTGGAGATGAAAGTGGAAAATAACGAAAACAAAAACTATTTAGATCTATTTTAAAGTTAAAAAAATTAAGATATTTATTTTTCGCCTCAAGTTAAATAGTGTATTTTTGTACACGATAAACTTAATCTATATATCTATATATCTTATAACATAATTTATCTTTTATTTGAAATGAAATAATTATTTTAATTATTTTTGCAATGATGTTTACAAAAATCTTTTATATTTATTGCTCGAAGAAATTTAAATCTAGCTTAATCTAGATCTTGAAAAGTCTTACGAATCTTAAATCTACGATTCGCGTTAAAAATTACACTCACATCTTACTTCGCACGAAAAAAGTTAAATGAAATTAAAATCATATTTAAATATTAAAGAATAAATATGAAAGAAAAAAAATATGCCATAAGAAAACCAATTCAAATCACCACCACTTTCATCACGATTTATATCAATCGATTTATTTGACTCATCGAACGGATGATATTCACATTGACCAGCAGAGGATTACGACACCGACATTATAGTCAAATGCACGATGTCCACGACGACCACAGAAAGGAACTAGAAGTCGTTACAAGATCATCGGAGCTGGATTACCAAAACGTCGTCCCAATGAAACGCAGGAAGGAATTAGAAGTCATCCTAGAACCACCGAGACCGATTTACAGAAGATCGCATTCGACGTACAGAATCTATCTCAGATCAATTGGTATCTAAAAGTACCAATCGATAAGAGCGCAGACCTTCGACTGACCATCGGAAATAGAGCACCAGCCCGATGAATTCTTACAATCCTTACGTGACGATTGATTGGACAGTGACTCGAATTAGATTTGAAGAATAATTAATAAAAGAAAAGTAATATTAACTAGCTATATAAAATCGATAAATTAAGAAATATAGAGAATTTTATATTTCGCTCGAAGTTAGAGAGTGTAGTTTTTGTACAAAATGCGCTCGCAATTACTTAAACTAAATCTATGTATCTTATAATCTTAACTTCATTTAAAACTAAGACGCACGCATCCCACGATGATTCAGCGACGATCCCACGATGCCCCCGATGGGGGTTTAATAAAGTGGTACTTGTAGTCCAGTCTAGCCAAAATATCCAAAGGAAAATTGGCACAATTTTCTAGATTAGAGGTACTGCGTAGTTCTTAGCTTGGTATCGATTTTTAAGAATTTATCTTTGGAAAATTTCCTTCGAAAATTTTTCAAAGAGTAATCTATG